GGGTAAAGCCTCATTACTAATGGTGTTTTAAAACTTGTATTAGGTGCTGGAGGGACAAAAAATAAAAAATATTTAAATCAAGTGGGAATTACTTGATTCTACTGTTTGGATCGCTTGGAGCTTTGCTAAAAGACTATTTACTTTTGATACAAAGAGATCATGATTACTTTTAACCATTAAATGCGGAAATTTACAAATTAAAGTACGATACACCATTTGAGAAATTTTATTGGACGATTCCCATTCACCTACTAAATCTTATCCAGGTGGTTGATTTTCTATCGAGATTGTGATTTTTCAAATACTAGTTACTAACATCCTATCATGTGATCATAATTTGTTTGCCTTTTAAAGCAAAGCTTTCTCCTTCAAGGGCTCCAACCGCTCCATCATAACGGTTGTTGAAATTTGGTTATGGTTCTATTATGGTTTGTTTCTCCCACTAACCTAGAAACCAATAATTCATCTTACCAATGTTTTAAATTGTTGTGCATTTGTTTAAAGGAGAATGATGGAGACACCGAACTGTATATACTATTATGATATAAATCCAAGTCGTTAATTTGTCCTTTTCATGAGAAGTTGGATAAACTTTTATGTCATCATCATCAAAGTTTTTTTTTTTTAATTGAGATAAGTTACATGAATTTTAATCCACTATTTTGCTCTATTAAGGGCTATATCCTCAGTGAGGTCATAAGTCCTCATATCTTTTATCACTACTTCCAACTATATCCTTTTCGGATGTCTCTTTATTTTTTCTTAGCCTTCTACTTGAGCTAACTTTATACTAGGTCTGCGCCACACATAGCCAACTCACCTAAGTCTACTCTCTTTTATCTTATTGCTTATTGGTGCTACACCTAAATTTTTCCGAATATATTATAAGTAAAATTTTTATTTACTCACATTAAAGTATTGTCATTTGGTTTGTCAAGAACCAAAACAAAAAGCAATCATCATAAAGTTCAATTATTTAGGAATCGGGCTTGGCGTTGAGTGGTTAACAAACGTTTAACAATGGTATTTCTCAAGTTCTATTCCGATTGAACTACCGAAAAATAAGCCAACTATTTTTCTAACCGCCTAGAGTTACAAAAATCGCCTATCCAACTCAAGGAATCTCTTAAGTTGGATCAAATGTGCGATAGGGGATCCAAGGCAAAATAAAACCCTGAATCGCCCGAGTCTCCTAAATTTAGTATGTGTTTTTCGTTTGTGTTACATATAGCCTGGTTTGACTTGGGAATGGGTTGGGTTAAAGATCCTCAACAAGTTCAATTTTAAGTTTTAGTTAAAGAGAGAAATGTTTGCAATCCAAAAGCTCGAACTACAAATTAAATCGAATTATTTACTGATTTTTTTTTTTTTAAAAAAGCTCGATCTGACTCAACAGGCTCCCCGATTCATATGACACATGACTCGAACATACTTCACTTTCTGTTGGGTTTCCCAGAGTCTTGCTACATCTAATGGGATTTAGAAACCATAATATGTTTCACTAAAATTCTATTTTTTAACAAATTAATTGTCTAACTTTAGTTCTTTTAATTTTTAAGTAAATTGGATTGGCTTAGGTAGGCATTATACAAATTGAATTGTTTTATCAAAATATAATTTTGTAAGTTTTGGGTACGTACATTATACCCGATGTAGGCTTTGGCTACCTACATTATACTCCATGTTGATTTTCTTGTAAATTAGTCTCCATAAATTTTTTTTACATGCCATGTTAGTTTAAAATTAATAATTTATCAAAAAAACTTAATAATTAAAAGAAAAATATACCATGAGACAATTTATCTTTAGTACAAAGTGGTTAAAATTAATCTTGACGTGAAATTAGATGGCTACATTTATACTATTGACGAAGCTCAAACTTCAAAAGAATTTTTTTTGAATATTGTGACACCCTCAAGCTATCAGATTTCATATCGTATGGTTACGAGTAATTGTGACTTTCTTGTATCAAAGATAAATAATCTCATTGTATACAATCCCATAATCAAGTACATTCTCAAAAGGGAAAAGTTTATATAGAGCCGAGGCTCTAAGCAATCAAATTTGAGCCTAGCTCAAAAAATTTACTAGAAGAGGTTGTTTTGATGCCCAAATATCTTCAAATTGATCATCTCGACATCGGGATGCATAAACATGAAAATGGATTTCAAGTTTTGGAAATAGTGTATTTTGTAACGTATTTTTTGACCGTCAATTTTCAAGATTTTCAAGTTTTCATAAATGTGTCGATCTACATTATTTTTTAAAGCTTTAAACTTTATAAATAAATATGAAAATATAGTTTAAGGCTATCACAAAGATTTCCAGTATTGAAACCATATTTCTCGACAGTATTTGAAGGTAGGTTTTAATTTGATTGTTTAGAGCCTAGGTTTTATAAAAACCGCACCCTTCTCAAAATATCTCAC